ACTGTTTCTGAGAGACACAATATATAATTCTCAAGTAACGATTAAGTTTGAGGTCAAGGTTGTGTTTTAGCGCAAAGCTACTCAATAGGCTACTTGCGCTTTGTGAACCGTGAGGAATGGAACCCGGGATTTTAATACTGTAATTCCGTAAACTTATCGTTAACCCAACTCAGGACTCTAAGGTGAAAAAACAAAAAAAAAACATTTTGATTAATCCGTTTCTTACATGCAAGGTGTACTTTTTCAGGGAAAGTTTAGTTCAGATCGATAATCAAGGATTACTTCTCAAGTTCACAGGGTATGATCGTCATAACATGCAAGACACAAAAACGCTAGGTGGCGTGTTCTCGACCCTATATAAAAGAGAACCTGTGAACGCTGTTTGTATTTCTTGCAGGTAGCTACAATTCTCGGTAACGAGTACATTTCTTCACAGTTTTGAATAACCAGCGTTTCTGCTAAACAGACACAGTAGATGTTACTTTCTTCATAAGATTTATGGCATGAATCTCTAAGTAATGGATTAATAAGTGACATTCGATGAAGCTGCTGAATGATGTCTTATTCATGTGTAAGCTGTAAGTAAAACAAAATATCTCCTCAGCAAATCCATAGACATATAACTCAACAACTTAGCCCTAAATTGAGCTTATAATACGTGATGTATGCAAGTTCTCTTTACGGTAAAACTCCTGGGTTTCGCGATTTTTATCTAAACCGATATGATATTATGTTAGTGATCACGTTTTTACTCGTTGTGATCTAAAACGATGTGATATTATGTTAGTGATCACGTTTTTACTCGTTGTGATCTAAACCGATGTGATATTATGTTAGTGATCACATTTTTACTCATTGCCCAAATATTACCCTACGAATATTACCTTGTACCAGTTCATATAATTCTCAAATATTCATTTCTAAATTTATTCTTCGCCTTATGTTTACAATTAGGATATTATAAAAATTCATGTTCCCTCACGCTAAAAGCTAATTGATTATTCTTATACGATATACAGTTCCTAATGTATTTCAATTCGCAGATTCATCAATTCTGTGTTCTTATTCTTCAAAACAAAACAAAAAACAACAACACACAACCAGTACGAACATAATAGGGTATCTTATTCAGTTTCATCATTTACTAGTGAAACGTATTATTTTTTCCTTTCATTTAATGTATTCGATTCCCCGCTGTGGATAAAGTGCAGATAACCCATTATGAAACAATCAACAGATTAATGGATATATAGTAAAAATTAGAAACTGCATGAAATTGTAGATTTATATGTTATTCATAGAAAATACCAAACCTCAGACAGTTCAGTTTAATAAGCTTGGTATGGCTTGTTGGTTAGGGTACTCAATTTGTAATATGCGTTATAATATGGTGGTCTATTCCACTATTCGTTGGTAAAAGAGTAGTCCAGGAGTTGGCGGTGGGTGGTGTTGACTAGCTGCCTTCTCTCTCTTGTTTATCACTTCAAAACTAGGGACGGCTAGAGCAGATAGTCTTCGAGTAGGTTTATGCGAAATTCAACGAACAAACAAATTTTAATAAAATTTTAGCAGACTTGACTTTGAAATTCCATGCACACATGGTTTCGTTTGGTTAAAAACTATAATAAAGCTAACTAAAACGTAACTATAATTATTACGGAAAAGTAGACTGAATGCAGAGTTTATAGCTTTTAAAAATGGAAATATAGATTAGTTGTAACAACTGATCGAAAGCACAGGTAGCATAATGCAGCTAAACTGTAAATTAGCAAAATGATAATTGAATTCAGAATAAAACGGATAACTTTTAAATAATAAATTATGTTTACAATTCCGACATACCATGGCGTTGTTTGGGTACAAATGAAGTCAGGCTACGAACCTTTCAAAAGCTTTTAAATTTCAATGATCATCTTTCGAAACCCAATTATATATATTGTCCATTCGTAATAATTACATTAAAAAAAGTCATGTTGGCAACACAAAGGTTGGTAGTCCCCTAGTGCATGGGTCAGCGGTAAAGTTACGGACTTAAAAAAGCTAAAATCCAGGGATTGATTCCCCATAATGGACAGAGCGCAAATAGACGATTGTGTAGCTTTCTGCTAACATAAAATTTTGTTTGATTTTGCGTCGATGTTCTGAATTGTCAAAAAAATTGGATACATTTTCAGCTCTTTCCATTAATGTTTCGGTAAAATAGCTTGTACCTTGTTCAGTGCTTTTATCAACATTAGAAATTTTTCTGAAACAAGAATTAACTTACTATCAGAGTGTCTTAAAGCTTATAATGCTATACTATCGAATTTGATGAGACTCTTGAAGCACACTAATAACATTTATTCACATGATACAGAATTAATGGGTATAACAAATATCTTACCAATTATAAAATTAACAAATACTTGTATCTTAAATAAGAGGGATATTGACACTGTGTGAAATGTAAATAGTATTTATTTCTGGGTTCTATAAGAAAAATACTAACACATTCTGAATTGTAAACAACATTTACTTCTAGGTTATGCAACAATAACTTGACTGCGCATTTGTATAGCTATTAATATATCCATCTATAACGTGGGATAGATAACGAAATGTTTCCATCATTGATCTTATTCTTCAGCTAAAACTGATCGCCCTAAACAGGTGTTTACTATATAACGGATGTCTATATTCCTATATTGATCAGAGTTTAACGTGAATACATTTATATAATGTAGTTTATTATTCCTGTTTCCGTTTGCTAGGAGATGGTATCATCTATCTAATGTGATACGATACAGCGTTTTTGTAAGATTCTTTGCATTCTGGTATTTATTGTATGTTAGTGTATATTTATATACGTATTTTTTAATCTTCTAGTTACCCGCTTATTCTTTTATATCTTTCACTGCTGGTGGGGATCACATATTTTATTATCTCATATACTTTTATATTTTTGACTGTTGTAACGCTTAGCGTAAACAATTAACAACAACAAAAAAAAAGATGAAATCGCTCAATTGACTTCATCAGTAAATCCAACATTCAAGATATTTTTTGTGTGATTCATTTGTTACCTTATGACAAACAACGTCATGGATCCACAAGCAATTTGGTGTATAAATAGTTTTGGAAATTTTGAATTGAACGATAATTTTACGGTTAATCGTTTTCAAATGCTTTCTCGTAATGTTTAGTAACGAATGTGCTTTATCAAGAGTTGGGAAACAAAATTACACGATCTGTGATAGTGCGAGGAAATATGTATTTCATGATGCAAACATTTTCAAGTTTTTTAAATGTTTGATTCTTCACACAGATGCAGGCTCATTCATGTGGCTGTTTAGCAATGTGCCTCTCATAATGACAGTGAGTTTTCATTTCTCGGGTTTCGTCAATCTCACCTAGCAATCACACTGTTTGTGGCATAACCGTTTTTACCTAAATTAAACAGCACATTATCTTAAATGACAGCGCTTTTCAAACTGGAGCCCGTGAATTATGTCTGAAATTTCATTAAAATGTTTTAAAAAATATGACTTATAGAATACAAAATATTTTCATAAAATTAAAGTTATATGAATTAAAACATTTGATTTTTTAATACAACTTTTTGTATCCACAGAATCTTAAAAAAAAAAAATCTGTAGATTTTGGGTCCGCGAAAAATTTTTAAATTAAAAGTGGTTATCGAAGTTTCAGAACCTCTGTTATAGGACATTCACTTTTGACTTATATTTGTGATAATTGAGAACTAAATTTTATTTAGTAATTCTCTTAAACAAAGTAGCAACTTTTGTGTACTTTTGATACTTAACAAAAATATGCAGTCCTGTTTGTTTGTTTTTGAATTTCGCGCAAAGCTACATAAGGGCTATCTGCGCCAGCTGTCCTTAATTTAGCAGTGTAAGGCAGCTAGTCATCACCACCCATCGCCAACTCTTGGGCTACTCTTTTACCAACGAATAGTGGGATTGACCGTCACATTATAACGCCCCCACAGCTGAAAGGGCGAGCATGTTTGGTGGAACTGGAATTCGAACCCGCGACCCTCAGACTGCGAGTAGAGCGCTCTAACCACCTGGCCATATGCAGTCCCGCTCGAACTTTTATCATTTTCATCTCTTTTATACAATCGTTGTTTTATTCTTCTATTATTAAACAAAAATTTGGCTTTTCACCTGTCGTTAGACTGAGATGATCATTTGTATCACACAGATAAACATGTATGGCAACACAGTTCAACTCTTTAGGTTATTTGAACATCTTGAAAACTATTTTCTCCCAGTTACTCTGTTAGCCAAATAAGTAATTCTCCTAGTTAATTAGAAATCGTTGAAATACTAAGCTTCATAAGAGACCTAGAGGGTAATTAAGTGAATAAATGGAAAAAAAGAATTTTAAAGTGACGGAGTAAATTTGTTGATTAAGAATATTAGGACCTCTATACACTGCACCTCTATACCCTTGTTACTCTCTCTCTCACACACACACATGAGTAAAGAGAAATAGAATGAAAAAGTTAAAACTTACTAGAAGATTAAGTGATAACAGCAGTTGTCACAAGAAATGTTAATGACCTTTCAGTGAACGAAAAATGTGTATCAGAGATACAACGAAGATCTGACAGGACAAAAGAGTGGAAAGTATAAAACGAATATATTTTATGATGTTAACGTAACGTAGAAAATGTGTCTTTACCTAAGTAATCATACCGCTTTACCCTTCAAAAAAATATAACTAACTCATCGGAACTATACTGGGATAGACAGGTCCACCTTTCTAAAGCGCTCGGTTATAGGAAAACATAACATTTATGGTTACTACGATAACCAGCGTAGGTTAAAACATCATTTAACTTATAATGTATTAATTATGAAGCGTATGTAGTTGCTTTTGCCTTTACTTTATTAGATTATCTTACTATTTGTTACAATTCACACCTGTAGAGAATACACATATGCCCTGAAACGTTTATGAAGTATATATTTATCAATTGTCATCATTTTTTACAGCTGTTAGACCTGACAGAATGAGAGGAGGCCGAAACAAATTTGGACCAATGTATAAACGGGAGAGGGCACGTAAGTTGCAGCTGTTACGACAAAAGCAGATGATTCAGTTTCAGTGCTTACCGTCTCAATGTGAAATGGTGCCTTCCAGTTCCTTTGTTTCTCCTTCTTTGTCAGCTACAGTTACAACCCCTTACATGTATTCCCCAGAATCAGCTCAGGTGAAGCAAGAACTAATTCAGATTCCACAGCTAAGCTCGTCTACAAGCTCCGCCGACTCATCTTCTCTTTCAGTTTTATCAACCACTACCCAATCCCACATATCTCTACCCACACAGCTGGCCAACAATTACCAACACTCTTCTGTTTCTTATCTAACAGACATTAGCAAAACAACATGGATGACTGCTCACAATCCACCCAATTCAGCTCCAAGTCCCATAACTCATCACTCTGCATATTTACCCAAACCATATTACTGTGACCCTGGTCCTTCCTCAGCTGGACCAGTTCCCTTATTAACAGGGGGAAACAAAATCCCAGAACTAATATGTGAGTTCCAGATGTCATTACCTGATGACAAAGACTGGCAAAGCCATCTCTTCGGTCTCCTTCAGAATCAGACGTATAACCAGTGCGAAGTTGATCTCTTTGAGCTTATGTGCAAAATGATAGATCAATTTCTCTTTGCTCAAGTGGACTGGGCTAGAAACACCATCTTCTTCAGAGACCTGAAAGTAAGCTTTTATTTGATGGTAAAATCATTTATGATCTTGTTCACCAATGAAATATGTGGTTATTAAGCTATAAACTAGTCTTTTTTAGCTCTCACTACGTTAGTACTTGATGAAAATGAAATTACATTGATCTTAAGAGCTTATAACCTTCTATGAGATCGAGAACCCGTTATGTTAGTCTATCCTACCGTCTGTGAATGCTAATGTTTATTTCCCAGTATATTTTCATATAACTGAAAAAAATATGAAAGTAGCCTAAAAACGGCATAATCGTCATTGGTCTGAAAGAAATTACTACATTGGCAAATCTGAATTTGCAGTTTAGTTTTAGATGAAATGCGTACTTGCTTGAATGGAAATCTGAGTACTGATTTAGGAATTAAAAGTTTAAATATCTAAATGAAAAAACTGCATTGATGTAGCTTTATATTTGAAGGCCGACGACATCGAAAAAAGTAAATGAGTATTTTAGTTTTGTTTAATTAAACGTGAGTAATTGTGTGGCTTGTATTGTCTACTAATTAGAATTTTACTTAGTAAACGTGTGGCCCTGATCAAATGTTGTAGTTTTAAAACAACTACAGACATATCGGGACTGTAAATTATATATCATGTATATGGTTTAAAAATAATGGTACCAATCTTGGAGACACGTTAAATCAACCTTTACTGAACAAAGACTGGTTCGTAAACTGAAGATTCTTATCTTCATTGTAGGTATTTAATAATACTTTTATTTCAGTGCGAGGAATAAAAAAATCAATGTTTGGTGTCAGACGAAAACACTTGGTGGATTTGTTTATGATACTGTTGTGTCTGTTGCTTCCTTTTAGATAAAATAGTTCATAAACACCTCTATTCAAGTGTAACACCCGTTGGTTTTTCATTTTCGTGCTATCTAAAAATCATAAGCATTCCGTGGATTATTATTTAAGTTTGATTTCTTCTAATGATATTCTCGAGCAGAGTTTTAATCGCGATACTAAACATTTGAAGGTGCTTGGTAACGCGAAGTTATCAAGAAATCTACTGAATGAGTGTGAAACACTTAAGCTGATAAAGTAATGGAGATTTTTTACGCCTAATAGAATTATAAAATATTGCTTATCTGCAAATGTTTTTCTTCACATTCTACTTAATTAGTTCGATATTTCCATAAAGAATTGTTTAACTTAATTAAAATGGACGTCAAGAATGAACACCTGTAGTCAAGCATGACTATAAAACTTACAGTATTACTTGACAAGAGAGAAAATTTCCTTCTGACTTATGTAGAAAAGATTGACCCGAGCTGACAGTAAACAGGATATTTGTCTAGTGAATTCAAAACTTCTATTTTTATCAATACAAAGGTGAACGTTTTATAAAGGGTTTCTTAGAATAATGAACAAACAGAAGAGCAAATTGTATTTGTAATTCTTACAAGTTCCAGACTCCAGGTATTATTCAAAGTTTGTATGGTAGTTCCATAAAATAGAGCTCCAAAATAACTTTAGATACTACAAGTCTGTGGGAAAGATGAGTTGTAGCATCAGAATGCATTGGATGATACGAATCCTCATGAAGATTGAAACTTGTATGCTTTATGTGTAACAACGGTGAAAGAAATAATATGTAGCTACTTATATTACACTGTCATCAGTATCGCTTGACAAATATAATTTTGCCTAATTACAAAGTATTGGGGCTTAAAGATATTTTACTGTGATGTTTAAGTTATTGACGATGAAAATTTGTTTCTAGAACATACAAATAGATGTCCTCCTTCTCAGTTGCTAACTGGAGCTAACATAGGTCAAATATTAAAGCAGAATCTCAGAAGGTAAAGGGCGCTCAACGTCAATCTGCGGGTCGCGGGCTCGAACTCCCATTTTCAAAGATACTCGCTGTTTCAGCCGCGGTGGTATTATAATGTAACGCTCAATATTATAATGTAATGGTTGGCGATGGGTGGTGTTGACTAGCTATCTTCCCTCTAGTCTATGACTGCTAAATTGTGGACGACTAGCGCAGATAGCCTTCAATTAGCTTTGTGCGAAATTCAAAACAAAAAAGCAATCAAATCAGAAATTCAGTGTAATTTATTCGCAAATAAGTGAGATGACAAAGCAAAACAAAAAAGCTATAATAGCAAGTTGTACAACACATATATATTTTATTCGTAATCATCATGATTAGGAATAGTCCTAAATATAAAATAATGTCAAATAACACATTTATTAAAACTCTAACTTAAAAAATTAAAACGTGCAGAAGCCTTCACAAATGAATCAATGTTCTATCCAAAGAAGAAAGCAAACCTTTTGAAAAATCACGTTGACGTTTGGATAAACATTTTGATGGGGAATTGTTAGATAAGCAATTCAACAAGTCATGTGACAATTACAGCTAATATAAGGTCGCGGAGGAATGGCATGTGTCAGAACTACATTTTGACATTGTTTGATGTTTCATAAGTAGTGTGAAGTCACCGAAAATTGATCGCTTTTGGGAAGAGTATGTAACAGCCCTTTCCGACGCGAAGTATTCATACTCTCAGACTATAAAGATGTATTTAGATTGGGATTTAGAATTTCCAAGACAGAGATATCCCTTGTACTTAATGGCATTTGAAAACGAAGGAAGGTGAATCAAATAGGATCATCAAGAAACAGACCTGAAACAAGCCGTACTACATCTGGAAAAGCGACACAAGTCGCGTGTATACGAGTTTTTTCCACATCATATTTGTTCAATCGTCGGATACCTGAATCAGCTGTAGAATGAAATGGATATTGATACCATTTTTATACGAAAACATTTTGATGAAGATGCCGAACACAGCATCTATGGATTTCTGAGTGATTGGATTGTTAAAACGAGCAATGAGAAACCATTGTCCCTATATACTAAATGGCTTATGGAAAGCCGCCAGACACGATGCGAGCGCTTTAGACATGACAGCGTTACGACGAACTTTGTTTGTTTGTTTTGAATATCGCGCAAAGCTACACGAGAGCTATCTGCGCTAGCCGTCCCTAATTTAGCAATGTAAGACTAGAGGGAAGGCAGCTAGTCATCACCACCCACCACCCACTCTTGGGCTACTCTTTTATCACCGAATAGTGGGATTGACCGTCACATTATAACGCCCCACGGCTGAAAGGGCGAGCATGTTTAGCGGGATGGGAATTCGAACCCGCGACCCTCAGATTGCGAGTCGAGCGCCCTAACCACTTGGCCATGCTGGGCCTTACGACGAAGTCTTTTGCAATGGAAATTACATTACAGAGTCATTTTCAAGATGCACAGTCGTCGGATAGAGCATGACCGGACATGGCAACATGGGCTTTAATGACGTGATGAACTTACAAAATTTATACGTGGCCAGAAGATATGAGAACAGACACAATCTTGTCATTGTTATTATTTTATATTTCTATTATTATCAACTTTATGTTATAAAAATAATATATTCAAACAAATAATTAGGTAAAGGCCACAAAAAGTATGATAACAGAGATTGAGTTCATTGTGTAGGAGCTGCTAATTCGTTTGAGTTTATTGTTACTTTAAGGATCGCTGACTTCACTCTTTGCAAAACATGTACGTTTTCAGCTATGAATGGTTTTTAATTAGGTAGTTTCAGAATACTTTTATTCCTGTTTATTTTAGGCGTAGTTTCATGTCTGTTATATATGGTTATAAAGGTTTCAGTCTTTAAGTATGAAGTTTTAATCCTAGTGAATCCTAGATTGAATCATATGGTAATTTACAGAGTTTTGTGTCGTTTTAGGTGCATCTATGTCGGCAATTATATATAAGTTAAAATGTCGCATTACTTTAAAATGAGATAACTTAAGGCCGCGTTTTTTTCTTCTTATTTTCAAGTTTACAAAATGTGACCAATATCTTCACTTATGCACACTTAATACACCTTTTCAGTACTTGAAAGATCGTTACTTCTACTTTATCTAAAACCGCGTATGTTTCGAAATAGCATTGATAATGTTCTGCAGTTCTAGCGAATGAATTCTTATATATTTATTTTTGCACGTTTCTTTGGGAAAAAACAAGTTCCTATAGCTGGCACGTTTACGAAATTATTTACTACTGACATGCATACTATTTATCCACAGAAACAAAATTCGCTATTAAATTACCTTATTCCTCCTTTTCCTGTACAAATAGCCCCGCTCATAATTTGAACGCTGAAAAACTAAACACGAAGTATAATTTAGATATACTCAAGTTTCTGGCCAAACGACTTCTTTTGTAAGTATCAAACTAGTAAAGACTTCACGGAACGTGGTCATGAAATACTGATTTATCACACGGAAATTGTTTCTTATTTAAATAGATACAGCAGTAATTTACTGACTTTTAATTCATGCTATTTTGTGTCTTTGGATATAGTTTTTTGTTTTACCGAAGAAAATTTGACTGTAGCAAATTACACATATATACCTACCTACCACACATTACGCAAAGAGAAAATTGCAATATTTCACAGTCTATTTGGTAAGCCTATTTTGAAATCAAGTTTCTTTTACTTGTAATGCATCAACATCAAAACTTACGATCAATGTTTCCCATATTGAACAAAATGAACCCCAAAATAGCCAAAGTTTAGAAATTGTTCGCTAAATATAAAGTGACATATAAGGAGTAAAAGGTTCTGAAATGCACAACACAGGTAATAGAAAAAAATGAATACCCTAATTTAACTCTAGATAATTCACTAACATTTGACAAGAATAGGAAAGTTATTCTTATGTGGGCATTATCAGCCTTGTAATGAGGAATCGAAAAATGATGTTGTTTTGTAAATGAAAAGTATTTGTCAATCATATTCCAAAAAGGTAAGTCTTTTTAAACTTGAAACAAGGTCAGCTAGAAAGCATGAAAGTATTTTAAAAGTTCAATGAAGTAAGAAAAAGAAACTACAACTAAAATGTTTAGGTATAAACAATAACACTAGTAATATTAATTAACTGTCAACTCAACGCTTTCATTCCATT